GTAAAATGGCAAGGCAAAGCGTGCATCCGCAACGTTTTAAGATACAACATATTAATCAAGCGAATCTGTCAGATCATTTTAGTATTTCAGTATTATCTTAGTAATACTTCAGATCAATACTAATAGCATTGACTTAGAATTATTTTAGTAGGAAACAGACATTTTTTCCCATTTCACATTTTTAAATTTTCTCATTTTCTTAACACCTAAACGGAAACCATATATCATTATAGTATGGTGGAGCGAAATGGGATAAAGTTTAAAACTTTTCATATCAAATGAAGCATGATTAAAAAGCGATTATTCGATATTTGAAATGAATGAGAAAAATGCATGAATATTTGACTTTGAGTAGGAGTATGTCAAAATTTGTGCAGATGAAAACAAGGCATTTTATTATGTATTACTTTCAGCGGTCATACATAGTAAATCCAAATCCCGATGGCGCCATGGCGACACTGTCACGACACTCTCGTAGCACTCTGGTGGCATATTGTCCACTTTTAGTTTTAACCATGTTCGTTCAATAGGCCTAAGACAATCATCATACTTAATTGACGATGTCAATTCATCGCAGCTCGGCGAGGCCCAGTACTACATACCAGTAGCGCATCTCGCCGATCTAGTCGTTGCGAGAAGCATAATTGAGTAATTGTATCATGACGTCGTGGCCGCCACGGTCGTTTCACTATGGTGATCATGTTTCACATAGCCATATGTATACGCGTACTTGCTCTATCCAGAGCCCTTGCGCTTGCAGTAGCGCGCGCCCGCCTCACGTTACCTGAGGACCCCAGGCTTTAATGTTGGTAAACAACATTCCGCCGAATAGAGATTAGGCGGAATGACAGGCTGAGCGCGGCCCAGTAAGCCTCACGGCGTCTTGACTTGTGAAAATATGAAACAAGCGCGCCTGAAGTGGCGCGAAAGCACATAGTTTGTGGTTGGGTGAATACGCGTACTAGACTGCGTGACGCCTTCGCGCTTCGGCGGTCGCGCGCTACTGCAAGCGAGAGGGCTCTGGTTAGAGCAAGGTGATCATGATACTATGCGTGATACTATGGCGATATAGGGGGAGTTACTGGGCCGCGCTCAGCCTGTCATTCCCCCGAATGATAGCCTGAGGTCCCCAGGTAAAGGGGGAGCCGCGCACTCGTGCGCGGCGGGTCATACAACGTATTATATTTGTATTGACAACAATTAATGAGTAATAATTGAGTCATGAGTGCGCGTAACGCATATCATCGCGCTACAATCAATCAGTCATCGTACCTTCATCCTTATCTTGTCAGAATAAACATGCGGTGGCATGGCCGGTATAATTAATATTACTTTTTATTTACTTCACTATAGCCTTGCATTGTCGAAAGTTATTAAAATACTATTTAGCTGCATGTATGATATAGGTTACCTGGCCTGGGGACCTCATAGTAGAGGCTCTTACGGGCAAAAAGACGTGTTTTCTGCTACGAGTTTAGAAACCTAACCGCTAATTGGACACAATAGTATGATGTCTAAGGATCGATAATATGTTAAGAAGTATAAATTTGGCCTTATTAGTCACGTGCTATACCAATGCGCGTTTTAAACTTTGACAGTCTATTACTCTAAGGCAAATAGAGTAATTATATTCATATTTTGTCTGAGTTATAGCTGTTTGAAATTTATGATGAACGCGCGGGTGCCAATTGATAACAACTAAATCATAAATGCTTTTGCGCGTAGTGCGCGTCGAAAATTTGGCAAAAACGCTTGCGAAGTGACAATATTCAAACTTCGATAAAGTATATGAAGTGGGTACTTCTCGGAAAGGAAAAATTTAGGCAAACACGATGTGACTATTTTTGGGTTGATTTAATACAACTGCAAAAAATTATTCAAACTTCAAGCAAAAAAGTCAACATTTTTACCACTTTTTTGGATTTTTACCCGCGTAAAAACAGAGGGATTTTTAAAATTTTTAAACCATCTTGTGCGGCTGTGTTTTAGCTATTTCCATGCAAGTTTTGCCGACATGCCAACAAAATGAACTTGTTCAAAATATCAAAAAACATGGTTTTTTGGCCTATTTTTTGCCCAAAAATCGGTTTTTTGCGATTTTACCCGCGTAAACTCAGTCCAATCATCTCGAAACCACTTTTAATCGATTCTACGGTCAAAAATACGTCTAGAAAGGTGTATCTGGGGTCCCTAGCGTATCGAGCAGACAATGCCCGTAAGAGCCTCTACTATCAGGCTATGATCATGTTTACAAACCGAATAGAGGGCTTTTACTAATTCGCTCGCCCAAAAATTTCACGTGACTTTGGTTTTTATGGTTTTGCAGCCGTACAAAACGGTTTTACATAAACTCTAATCCCAACCCTAATCCTAACCATAATCCCGAAGCTAACCATAACCTTTACCACAACCCTAACCCTAACCCGGGCCCTAAACAATCGAATTCGTATTTTACTAGCCTGTCACGTGACCAAAACGGTTTTTTGCCCATAACTCTCCAGGGAAGCATTTTAACCCTACGTCATGGGGGGTGATTCGGAATCAGCGTCCAAAAATACACCGATCTAGATCACTTTCATGCCCAAAGGGCCTTTTCACAAGAATTTTCTTAAAATTTGGGCGAGCGATTTAGTAGGAGCGCGAATAGAGATTAGGCGGAATGACAGGCTGACCGCGGCCCAGTAACATGTAAGGGGTGCACTGTTGACTGTGCATGCACGATAATAATAAATTTGCTTGGATTCTAAAAATTTTTGTACCATCGTTGCGTTTCCTAGAAACTGTAAAAATTTTCACAGTACCAAATTTGTCATACCTTTTTGGAATGATTAGTGAGTTTCACAGCTAGGTGCCATTGCATATTTGATGGTGCGCGGCTTTTGGAGCAAAAGTAGGTGTAAAAGTTGCGTAATATGACGAAATTCATTGATTTTTGTTGCATTATTATGTAATATCTTCCGTCGCGTTCTTTGCATGAGATCATATTCTGAAAATTTGTGAGGACCTTCCAATAAGGCTTTCACAACTGTCCGAAAAATTTGGTGGATATCGGCCGAGTTAATATAGTAATAAAAATGGGGCAAAATACGATGCTTTTAGCTGTAAGTTAACAATAACATAATGTCTGAGACTCTGATGGTTGCGGTTAATGTTTCGGACAGTTTCCTTGTAAGTCTATGTAATGAGTAAGCTAACCAATTTTTGTTAAAATTGGATCAAGGGAAGGTTACTCAATTCGTATTTGTTTCAAGAATTTCGTGATGGCCGAAATTAGCGCTAAAAAACTTTTTCATACGTTGTATTTGTCATACGTTGTACGTTGTATTTGTCATACGTTGTATGACCCGCCGCGCACGAAAAAGGGACCATAGTGAAACGACCGTGGGGGTCGCAACGTGATACATGAACGTTGTCAGTTGTATGACCCGCGCGCCGCGCACGAGTGCGCGGCTCCCCCTGTCACCTGTATCGTAGAAACTCTACACCATAGTGAAACGACCGTTACATGGCATGGAGGTCACGACGTGATACAAAAAAGAGTGATGATTAAGCACTCTACAGTCGACTGTCTTAACGGGTGATACTCGTAAAATATTTGTTCCAAATATTAGGACCGACCGTCGACTTGATTCACGATGTCAATCCTTCGCAGCTCGGTGAGGCACAGTGGTGCATCTCGCCGATCTACCGATCTATGTGGTTGCGAGAAGCATTATTTGATGCGCGCGCGACCCAGTAGTGCATCGCGCTACAAACCGTCGACGAGCGTCCTGGTAGGTTTTACCTGGGGACCCCAGGCTATTATGTTCAATAGAGATTAGGCGGAATGACAGGCTGAGCGCGGCCCAGTAAGGTAGGTTATAAACCTACAATCGACTGTCACGTGACTTTTTCAACCCGTTCTCTAGCTGGTCCTGAACGACTTTTCGAAATCCTAGTCCTCTAATCTGATCCCAACCCTAACCCAACCCAATCTTTAACAAAAGCATACACTGAAACCCTAACCCTAACGAGAAATTAGACTAACTTCCTTATACGGTCATATTATATCATATGATCGAGACAGTTTTTTCGCCAATATCTCGTCAGGGGAGCATTTTATTATTTTAACCCTATGTCATGGGGTTGATTTGGAATCAGCGTCCGAAAATACATCGATTCAAGTTGGTTTCAACTGTCGGGGGCCCTTTTAGAACAATCTTGACCATTGTTAATGGTCTGGCCCGGCGCGCGCTAACATTTCGAGAAGAAAGCGGCGCGCGCTACTTCGAAGAAATTTAGACGAGTAACATCCGTCAAGAACAATCTCAAAGATCGACTGTAAAGTGATTTAGCACGCTCGCAAAAAAACCCATCCTACAGCTACAGTCGGCACGCGCGGCTCACTGTCGATGGTGCACTACCTACTATATCTAGCGCTATCTAACGTCAATCGTCATCTGACGCTAGATGTCGAATTTCAACTTGAACTATCGGTAAATATTAAAGAACCAGTCATACCAAAAAGAATTATTTCAAATGGGCACTCAGTGACTGAGCTATATATAAAGGCCAACGTATGGGTACTGACTTTTGGCCCACCCTTTGATTCACGATGTCAATCCTTCGCAGCTCGGTGAGGCACAGTGGTGCATCTCGCCGATCTACCGAATGCGAGAAGCATTATTTGATGCGCGCGCGACCCAGTAGTGCATCGCGCTACAAGCCCACCCTGTATATAAAATATACAGCTTCTCAGTCTTCAGCATCTCTGACAAGGCTAGTAAATTAAGTAATGCTTTTACGACACCGTGGTTAATGTGAAAAGATAATAATGAAGGTATAATGATCGTATTAAGCTTTTGAATGAAAATGATTGAAAGTAGGCACTGTGCCGCCATAGTGCCACGACATATATATGATTATGAGTGCTACGAGAGTGCCTCGAGAGTGTCATCGGGATCCGGATGTACATTTATTGCCCAATAAGTTCGCAGAATCACAGAACGCAATAAAACATGTTATATCGTATTGAAAGGATGTAAATAACACTTACTTCCAATAAAGTTAACAATCACAGATGCCAGCACCAATGTATTACGGGAAAATTATTGTCAATATACTCCCTTACGAATTCATGAATATCTCCTTATTTTACATAAAAGTTAATTCAATAAAATTTTCTTCACAATTTAAATCACATCAATCGCAAGACACTATGATTAATTAAGTTACATTTTACAGCATCAAGCAGAGTTAATAATTATTTAAAACATGAAACTCATCGTAATTGTGGACCTCAATATTTTTGGCACTGAACGCCTCAATATAAACTGTCAAAAGCATTGAAACAATTAATATCAAGTACAAATCTAAATTTTAGACATCAACTGCATGGAGTTCAACAAAATCTAAAACAGTAGGATATTCAGCAAGAAAAACCAAGGAAATTATCAAAACTACAAGTGACTTTTGCGACCGAAATCAAATTTGAAAGTTGGATATCGTACAAAACTTTCAACTCTACTAAAATTTTCCCAAGTAATAACTGTGTGAATTAATAAAACCATTTTCTTTCCTACTTTTACCATGCAAAATTTGGGAACTCCAGGTGAATCGATTGTCCAGTAAGACCAACGAAAGGGGTTATCTTTAAAACAGGGAACAGTTTGAGTAGTGGAGGCTCTCAACTTATTTCTTCATCTTGGCATAAGTCTCCTCCAACAGTTTCTTTGCATTTTCATGGAAGTTTATCTGCGAAAGTGTGATTGAAAATATTTCTAGTTGGCTTGAAGTTGATACCCCAAGATTACAGAATGTTATTATCAAATAATTACAGTTTATTATACATGGTGTTATATGAATGGTGTACAACATAATCGACTAACCCGTAAGCTATGATTTTATTTATCACCCTGTCTGCTACGTCCTTACTTTATTGTTTATTAGTTCTTACTCACAAATACTGTAATTTTGGTCATGGTGACATTATCTAAATATGATGACATCAATCATCAAAAAGATAACCTCATCAAAAAGAGATGACATCATCAAAATAACGTTTAAAAAATAGCAGGCTCACCTGACTCCTGACCAGTTCCTCTAAGTGGTTGGTAAACTCAGCAGACTTTCTGTCAGCGTCAGTAAGGAGTATCTTGGTCTGCTCGTACTGGCGATCAAACGCAGCCTGGGACTCCCGGACCTGGGTGCACAGATACTCGGGTATGGGAATCGCCTGGTGAGAATCACAGGTACACAAAAACAGATGACGTCATCAAAAGCGGATGACGTCATCACAATAACTTCACAACGAAAATATTGTATTGATTTAATTAGCAGTTTCTTTGTTACATTCTTTAAAAAGAATGTGACAAAATAGTGTGACGATTAAGGACAGAGAAAACAACATTAGTTCTCCTACCTTCTGTTCATTTTGCTGCATAGCTTCAGGCGTCCTAGCGCCCCTAACTTTACTTTTGGCAGCGTCTAAATCAAGCCTCGCAAGATCTAGTCTGCGCTTCTCTGTGTTGATGTTCGTCCACTCAACCTGAAATGAAACATTTAAATGTATTCAATATAAATCAATACTTCAAGCTCCCCGGCCATTATCATCAGCACACCTGGTCATACTAATACTGTATATTTGCTTAGATTTTTGGTAAATCTTTGATTTGAACAATCCACAGGCTATCTATATGGGAATTGTTAATTTAACTGTATAATTTAGGGGACAGGAGTGGATTTAGTGACAACATTACATTATTCCTTTTAACACCCCAGTAACTCCATGAGGCAAGACTACTAACGATTGTAGAATAGATATTTTTAACTAGAATGACGGATAAATATCTTTATTTCTGTTTTATTTTTTATACTGATCAAAACTATTTTGTGTTAGAAGTTTTTTTTTGTCCACTATAGTTTGGCAGAGAATTGTGTGTGGATTATGTACACGTGTTTTACAAGTGTTCGTGTGATAGAGAGCAAGAGGACACGATCAATAATTTACATATTTAAAACAAAAATAAAGATAATTTGTGCCATAAATTTAACTCAAATTATTTTACCCAGAAAATAAACAAGCTGTGCAAAACTCTTTTTATGGTCTCCAATCTAGAACTAAGTCTACTTAGCAATCTCAAGAATCTCTTCCATTTTCAGATTTTCAGAATGACAAACCTGGAGGTGGTTTGAGAAGGGTTTGAAGAAGTTATCATAAACGTCCTTCAGGTACTCCTTCTCCATCTTTCCCATCCTGATAAAGGTGTCTCCCACCTCCACCAGGGACCCTCCGATCTGAGTGTTATCTCCGATCTCAGTCCCTGAACACGATCAGTTTAGAGACCATACACAAAAGGTGGGATTGCGGGGGAAGAGGTGTGGTTGGAACACCCAACCAGTCTAAAGAACACCCCCACAATTTCAACCGCCGCTGTTTTGCGATCTTGAGCCGGAGGGGGGTTTCGGGTCTAAAAGGAGAGAATCATATCTCAATATAATGGTAATACGGTGGTGCATGAAACTACGAAATTAAAAACAAGTATTGTTATTGGACCTACCTCCAGACTTCATATGAGTGCCAAGAATTTCAGAGTAAGTGCTCCTGGTCTCCAGAGCATTGCCTCTCCCTACGAGAAAACAATTACACGACACTTCTTCACAATCCCTTCTATGTCTAGAGTTTCTCCACCAACAACAGGTCAGCGTTTTAACATTCAAATGATGGCTTTGAGTCTTTTTGTGATGTGTCAACATAAGAGGACATTGAACGAGTATATTACATTTAAAATGTGCTAAGATATTGTGTGTCATAACAAGTTGAAGTAGGAACACACACACGCACAACAATTTACAATTCTTCAGACTACTCGTTTTAAATGCTCAGTCAAAAATGTGCAGCAATTAAATAAAATTGAGAAACATGTAAAACCGGCTTCAAATCAACATTTAATTCAAACATATTTTGAGTAGAATAAAGTGACAATAGTTTTTGGTCGGTTAAAATTCAACTTTCATTGCTACAAGTCAACGTAATCTGTAGTTTTTGATGCATAATTTCCATCCCTGCTCAATGCTCATGCAACACACACTGCACTGAACCGTTTCATCTCTAAATTATTCAAATTCCTTTCCCGAGAGCATTTCAATATCATTTATTTGGCAAAAAGTGTATGATTTCTGTGATATATGGGATGCAACACGGGTCTCGCTCAAATCCGGTACCATTTTCAAAGTTATAGCCAGTTGCAGTCTTTTCTCTGCCAGACCAGGGCCAAGCTCCTAACCCTGCAGGATTAAACTTCTAATTTGTGCAAACAGACTAGCTTTAATACCCTGTAGCGGTAGGTATCTAGCAGATAAAACATTAGGCTCCAGACATTTGTCAGACACATGATAATCGTACTGTACAAAAGACAAGAACATTTTGTGAGTCAGCTGGGTGAGAGATAGAGTTAAGAGTAGAGTACATAGTACATGTAACTAAGAGTACATACTAAGAGTACATACTAAGAGTACATACTAATTGCTCATATATAAGGTTACATACTAAGAGCACATAGATAGAGTTACATACTTATGGGTATTTTGCCAGCGATGTCTCTGAGGTTAGCGTTAGTACTAGTTTCAGCGGCTGAAAAGGAGGCGCAAGGTAGCGGAATGTCAGATTTAAAGATTGTAACAGAGAGATCACTTTTTAGTGAAGTCAGATAAAATTGGAGTCAGATAAAATGGGATTAAGCAGTGGAAGTAGTTTGATTTAAACAATAGAGTTAAAGTTTTAAAAGGGCGTCAGCGATAGTAACACCAATTTTATCTGACAACACTGTATAAGAGTTTAATTTATTTGCAGAAAATAGTTCAAAAGAGCAAGTTCATATCATCGCTCAATTTTCATTTCTGAAATCGTTTGACAGGATCTATCAGTGGTTCTTAAGCTGAATCCAATTACGAATACCACACTGATTGTAATCATAGCATAGCATACAATCTACACATTGTGCGACACGTAAATAATCAGACAATGCTACACAAACAAAACCACGGGTAAAACAACAAGACACTCCAGTCAGTCCGTCCGTCCGTCCGTCCGTCCGTCCGTCCTGTGTACCTACCAGTGACCTTCTCGTTGAACATGTCCTCGAGACGGGCTGCAGCGTTGGGTTGGAGGAAGTTCCTGGCGGCGTTAGCTGACTTGTTGATGTTGGTCTGGGTAGCCTCAACACGGCTAGACAGCTGGATATACTCCTGGTGAAATGGCTAGATAGTTTCAGGCTCTTAAATTAATCTGGGGGCGACAACGTTAGTGGTTACACTTTGTGTTCCAAAAGGTAATACAGAATGCAGGTAATATGACCGAAAAAGGGATAGAGCGGGAGAGAGAGAGGGAAGGGATGGAGGAGAGAAGATGGGTAGGGGATCGGGAGGAAGGGGCTCTTCCACTAACCAGGTCGAACTCGGTCTTGACAGCGTTTCCCATCTTCTCTTGGGAGAACTGTTTAGCTCTGTCGAACCCTTTTACTGACATGGAGCCCAATGTGCCCAGACCTTCTCTCAGCGATTGTCCTAAATCGTCCATGTTCAGGTTACCCTGTGCGAGGTAAAGAGGTTAAACTTTGATAAACATACATACAGACAAATGTACAGACAAACAATATTATATGCTATCATCACTGCATGCAGTGACAATGATATAAATCTTGTGAATAAGAGGGAGGGTCCATGCGAGATTTTTTGAGATATATACTTATAGTTCTGCATATTTGCAAAATCCCAAAAAAATTGAACTTTTTACAAATTTCGCATGGATTCTCCTTGAGATTTTTGTAAAGATATGTAATTATTAAATAGTTACAATTAAATGATTTGAATGCGAAATAAATATGCAGCGTTTATGCTTTGAATTGTCACGCCAAAAAACCGTTCAAGAAAATAAAACCAAAAAAGTTTAAACAATTGAAACTCAACCAAACTAAAACAGAGAGGGTAACGATACAAATATCTAGCTGCGGACTGAGGAGTCCAGTTACCAGCAACACAACACATTCACATGTAAAAAGTCTCTTCTTTGTTATTGGAAATTTGAGAGCTGTATACGGCAAAACAGGCGTGTGGGTCAGCTGTGGTCAGCTGTGGTGTTAGAGAGGTGCACCGCGGGGGAGGGGAGGGTACACCGCGGGGGGAGGGTACAGAGTACACCTCCAGCTCGGCAAGGGGTGTAGTTAATGTAGTCAGTAGTAGTAATAGTCTGTAGTCAGCACCAAGCGTGTTCGCTAGACATTGTAGCGAGTAGTCACTTACAGTTTACAAGGTCTGTTTCTAGGACAGTTCCTAAAGTCAGGGTATCATGTGCGGGATAAATTAAACGGACAGCTCCTTTGAAGAGTAGGACTCAGTGAGGCACGTATTGGATATCATGATTAGCCTGGACCGTTTAGAAGAGGAAAAACAGCCTAACTTGTAAACTACCTACTTTTGGGAGTTTAAACTCGCTCCGGGCACACTGGTCACTGATATATTATTCAGGTAGAATGTCGCGCTTCAACAAGTCATTTCACAAGAAACAGTCTAGTAACAAAGGTGAACAGTGACTGTACACGTGTTGTTAAAACAGGAATGAGAGTGGTAGTCACGGTGACCCCATCTGATGTTCCGTGTAATGTTCAGATACAATTACAAGTTATGCTACATCACTGTTATTTGATCAGTGTAACATATTATCTGTACTTTTAAACTACAGTTACAGACTACATTGTGTTACTGTTAGGTATTGTGTTGTCATGCGGAGTAAATTCTAAAGAACTCTGTGAAACTAAATGTAAGACCGGCAGACTCCTGCTCTACATGTCTGATGTCTCAATTAGAGACATTCTATTAAAGTGCAGCTGGCACAGTAATACACAGGAAACTTTACTGAGAGCTATGCTCGACTGTGAAGTTTAGCGAACAGGATAGAAGCAAGAAGATTAGCTCCAAGTTAAGTCAAAACCCAACAAAGCCAATGGGACTGCTAGACAACCAATACAGTAACAGTATTTACGTGTATGGTGATTTACCAGAGGGGTGTCAAACAACTTAACCATTATTAGTTCATGTATTATATCGGGTAAAGAAAGCAGCAAGCAGGTCAGTAAGATCACTGCAGCATTAGACAGGAACATGTACATTATTGGAGAGCGGGAGAGAGCTTTGTAACTGTGGAAATCTTTGTATGAGTAGCTAGGTACATTATACCATGTATTATGTATAACATACATTACATATAGTACATTTTGTAGTTTATACAACTGTTTGAGTAGAGCATTTCGTATAACTGGGAGCCACGTGATTACGAGTCAAGAACACTTGTCGCAAAAAAGGAGAAGAGAAATCTAAAAGAAAATGTATTTGATGGGTATAACTTTACACGCGGAAATTCTTTATGAACATCTATGAAGACGTGTATACGATAACTATGTACTGGGTTATTATATGGGTATATAGCTAGTAGACGGCGAGCAACTCATTAATCATAGACATCCAAGTATGATAATAAACCACCCGACAAATGTGTTCTGCACAAAATATAACCACAGTATTTAAAGCTATCTATAGATCACTATTAATTAGCCAGACTAACTTGCGGCAGTCTCATTTATCTAGATCCGACTAACTGTACAATTGTACAGTGTAAAAATGTAAAACTGTACGATTACTGTGCAACTGTGCGACTGAACAGATCTGCTTATCTATCTGACTAAAGCAGATATGAAGGCAAACTCTGTAGATAAGAGCAACTTTTAAAAAGAGCAAGTAGTTAAAACAAAACATAGACTTAAGAGGCTCCGATGAGAAAAGTGCAGGGAGCTACACTCTACAGCTATCAAATGCAAACAAAAGCAGACACTTGGATAGAATATAAGCGGGAACAACGTCCAATAACAAGCTTGGAGATAAGTCACGCGATATGCTCTCATCCGATCACTAACAACTTCACCTGTTCAGTCTCGCACTGAACATTTCACAAGATTACAAAGGAGCTTCGTTGAATTGATCTTAGATACTAATTCTAGCTTCAATGTTTATTAAGGTGTTAAAAATGCTGTTCTAGTCCTGCTGAATTCTAAATTCTAAAGTGTCACTACTACAGGAAGGCTACCAAACAAACAACTGTATAAATACAGTTATTAGTTATTACTTTTACTTTACACTTGAAGTGTAGCTAAGACAGCTATACTAGTGCTACTGCAGATATATAAACTAGACTCTATACAAACAACAGCTAACGACACACACAATACACGGAGTGGAAGGAGGAGATAAAACCCGTGAGATTCTCGGAAGTCAACATAAGCCTAAAAGAAAACACTAAAACAACGGAAAAAGCAGACATATTAAGCAACATTTAACAAAGACTGTACAATGTCAACGAGCAGAGCAAACGGCCAATATAATGGATTAATAAGAAAGTTTTAAAAAGAAATGATACAATAGTTGGTGGTGTGTACAAAAGATACACCGCAAGTAAAAGGTCCGGGTATAAGAAGTACACAAGAAACAATGCAAGGCAGGAAGTCAGTGTACAGCAGATGTACACCAAAAGTCTCAAAGCAAAACTTGCACTTGTGGAGATATATGCATTGTATATCAAAGTAGAGACCGAAGATAGCGAAATTGAGCGCTTTTTTGTGTAAATACGAGTAAAGAAGTTTTGCTGGAACTAAAGGTCTCTATTTTAAATGCGACAGCTAGTAAGTAGGAATAATAGGTTAACCCAATAAGATGCAACTATGTTAAGTTTTTCGCTGCAGCGTAACAACAGGGTTTAATGGGTTACAGGAAATAGGGATACACTCATATAGACAAAAGATTGCGAAAGATAATGCTATTGAACCATGTGCATACGCGCAGAGAATTGTTATGTGTCGTAACAGGCATGCTACCGGTCCCGTCCAAATGGATTCCGTCGAATGAGGTCGAATCTGATATATTTCACTCTTTTAGTCAAACACGATATGGCGATAGAAGATGTTAACTATTATACCATACCACGTACAACTATCTTCTAATCGATTTAAATCGGTATTATTATTGAAAGTATGAGCCAGAGGTATAATCAGTGATGCAATAACACACCCACAGTTTGGAGATGAAATCTCACATTACATATAATGAGATTATGGAGTACATTCGAAATCTAATTTTGGCCTTTTGAGTTTTGGGGGAGTTTAAAAGTCACGTCTAGTCTACACAAGGGGAGGTCATGTCCCCCCCCCCCCCCCCCCCCCCCTACACAACCATAGATCCGTTATCAGTATCAAGTGTGGTAAAAAATAAGAACTATATCAGGTTCAACTATATCAATAGCATTTTGGAGGGACCGGTATCTGCCCGTAACGTTCGTGTTAAAATTAATTAAGAAAGACGGGGAAAACATACCTAGAGAAACAAGTAAACATTGCGTAATCCCAGTCAAAACATGCAATAAAACGTGCAACAAAACATGCATCAAAGCATGCAGTTCCAAAACATCTTACTGTTGCTTGGTGTGTGATTTTTACCCTCAACCCGTCCTGATATCAGTTAAAACATGCAGGGACATGATAGAATAATGTCCTTCACGCCAAGAGTCACTTTTTGGAGGGTTCTTTGAAGAATAAATTCAATAAAGTTCCCAAAAATGTCTCCAAATTGTGACTCATGGTCACGGCAAAACCACAAACCAACATCATTCCATAAAATTTGATCGGAAGCGATAAAAATCTGACTCACCAACCCTGCGGACAATCTCTCGCTGTAAGCCATGAAACCCTAAAATAAGCTGAAAATGATGCACAATAGCAAACAGTAAATGGAGTGTGCTCGTGAAAATGTATTTATCGACCAAGTATGAGCACAGCACTGCACGCTAATGTAACGCATATAACAAATAATATTATGTAAATTGCGAGACATTTTTCTTTGTAAATGTCGTGGATATATTATAGTGGTGGATAATAATCTCAAAAATGGAAAGAATGCAGGAATAATCGAGATGATTGATATGTGGTCCCATGATGACAAGCATAATGTGAGGTTTTGAAATGTACGAAGCAATGATACACTGAAGATATTAAAACAGCTCAAGAGGTAAAATGATTGATATTAAGACATCAAGCAAGCAAAATACTCTTAAATTCCGTAAATTTTTCGTGAGATACGACAAGTCAGCTTCCAATACAATTAACAATTTTTTGCAGAGACAATAAATTAAAAAAGGCGGGTTAATGGTAGCGACTCAAATACATGAACTGTACACGTGGTGTTAAACTGTGAATGTTGAAACTTTCACCGTACCCAAGCTGAGACTACAAGTAAACTTAATTTAAGCAAATATCCAAAAGGTTCAAAAAGCAAGTATTTTTCTGAATTTTTGTAGGGCATTTGTTTAATGCTTATATCTTAATCAATGAACTTAATCAAAAGCCAGTTTAACATATGATTATGAAGAGAATTTTTCACACCGAAGAAATAAATATTATTACTTTAACTCTTGCAATGCTCAAGAATTCAAACATGCAAACTGATATGATAATATTGAACAATCTAATGCTGCCATGAAAATATGGTTGACATCAAACATTCCATACTTAATAATGTTCATAAAAAATAAATGCTCCGTCTTGCCCTTTGCGTAACTATTCCTTAACAAGGATCATGACAAGGTAATCCTCCTTACTCGGCTCAGGGTTCAAGCTCGGAGCAGCCTTGAGGAGCTTACTCTGGGAGAAGTCACAAGGAGGAAAAGTGTGAAGGACGCCCTGCAAATCGTTCGCCTCCAAAGTACTAATCCCGGCTGCCTGTTTCTGGATGAAATATTGTAACAAATGTTTCAACGGTCTGTGCTGGATGTCTTCGGGGAGTTCTGAAGTTTGTGTGGATGTCATGGCAACTAGGATACAGTGCCCACTAACACCTGCTGATACTAGTTTCTGGTTCAACTGGTCCAGCTTCTGTTTTTCGAGTTTCAAACGTTGAGTCACTCGGATGATGGAGCCGATGGAGCTATTTACAAGAAGTTTTTCAGCCACTGCAGGGTCACCACCAACAAGATACAGTTTTACTGAAAATGCGTTCGTTTTCAGAACTATGGACCCCTTCCAGGCAATAGGATAGCGGTTGCAGAGTTCTGACAATGACTCAACTTTCTGATTTTTAGATTTCGATGCAGATCTTTTCTTGGGACTGGATTTGGAAACGCTGCTTTTACGCTTTGCGCCTTCCTCTGAACATTCAGTATCTGATCTCATGGGTTCTGAATCATATTTCCGCCGAGAATTAGAGTGCTCGGGAGAACCCGGGTCAGCAAAATCTACAGTAATCCTGTGATCGGGTCCCCCCAACGGGTAGCCCTTCATTCCTGATAATGCAGATGATGCAGCGTCTAATGATTCAAACATGACGTAAGCATGGTAATCTCCCTCGTTGAAGTCAAGTTTCGTGATCTTGCCAAATCTATCGAATTCTTTTTCAAGCTCGGAAGCCTTCGTCCAGGAACCTAAACCTCCAACCCAAATTCTGTGGCTCATAACACCTTTACCATAACCAATCTTTAATACATTTTTACCCATCTGATATCCATTGAGTTCTTCTTTTGCTCGTGCAGCATCTTGGATGTCAGTGAATTTGATGAACGCATATGAACAATAGCCATCTTTGTGTTTCTTGAGATCAACATCTGAAACCTTTCCGTATTTATCAAATAAAGCTTTGAGTCGGTTGGCAGAGTAATCTAGATCGACATTTCCGACGAACAATGTTCGAGTAGCTTTCGGATCGTCTTCCGGAGGTTTGTGATCGGAGAACTGTTTTGATCGGTCTGCCTTGCCACTGAAACCGCCACCCCGGGTCTCTCTATTGTTCTCAGGAAACGTCGGAGCAGAGTCTCTGTTGTTGTACTTATTGAATGCTCGAGTCTCACTATCTCCAAAAATCTCTTGCTCCTCCCGGAAAACGTGGTATGGCTTGATGAATAACTTGCGATCAAAAACTATCGTACCTTGGAGAACGCGGCGAGCCTCTTTAGCATCCTCAACATTTTTAAAACTGATAACAGCAAGCCTATCCTTTCCCTCTCCCTCTATCCCTACTTTGCATTTTCCAAACTCTTGAAAGATATTAAACAGATGACTAGAAACGGTGTCATCGTCTACACCTATTGCCAGATTGTAGCCGGCCAACTCATAACAAAACTGATCCTCGTACTTGCTTTTAGGAATGTAGGTATGGCTGTTCCTGCCGCTGTCTGCACCTGCCCCTGGACCACCTCTTGATCGAGAAGGACCGTGGTTGAAGCTCCCAAATCCACGACCTCTGCCTCTGTAGCCGCGATTTGAGACTTCCCCTCCGCTGCTATTCCTTCTTTTGTAGTCGTCATTATAATCATCATCGTATTGGGGCCTACCACGGTTGTTGTAGCTGCTGTCCTGAAACGAAGCGAAACGTAGAAACTTAGGTGGACAAAAAACAGGATATCGTACAACGGAAAGTGATTCAATTTCTGTTAACGTGGCAATTTTAAGTTTCAGTGTACACTTACATCGCTTCTGTATCTCTTATAGGTAGGTGAGCTGTCGCCTCTGTGAGAATACCGTTTCATCGTTTTCCTGAAACATAACATTTAACAACTGATGGTCGAGGCAAGCAACAACCCGTGATGTTGCCATGAGGGTTTCAATGGGGCAAGTAGGCCAAATTTAGGGAAAATCAAATTTAAACGTCTACGCTACATTAAATTACGCGCAGTGGTGCGCGCATACAGCTTTTTGCGCGAAAAAAGCTCTGCTTTGTACAGGTATAACGTAATTTCTTGCTAGTACTTTTAGCGCACCACCCAAATCTGTTTCCTGTTAGTTTCTCATCTATATTCCAAAGGACTTCCAAATCATCGAGCATGTGGGACAAAGATGGGACAGTTTTGTTTCACTAAACTGGTTAGAACTAATGGTCTTGTTAACTAAAATTTACCAAGTCAAATGTGGCAAAATTCAACATGTTTTAAGTTATTGCACTGGTTGCATGGATAATAAATGTGTACCGTATTCGTTTTAAGCGTTATAACTCTAAGGACTTCGGCAAAGATGGCAGATAATTAATTATACGCCCGTTTGTGAAACTTTTGAATTGTCATTTTTGGATGCTCATAGTTCGGTCAACAAATTAACATTAGGTTATAAGCTAGTAAGTTACGTGAATGCAGATAGTTTTTAAGGATTTTATAAAATTCTGTATACTTTTTTAATACCGTATCTGGATCGTGATCGTGTTAAAATTTTCAGGAATATTTTTTTATAGAAAGGCCTCTGAGATCGACATCAGCTGATTACTTAAAAAATGAGAAGATGTTCTAATTTTCAGACATCTATCTAACATGCCAAACTAATATGACAACATTGTAAAGCAGCTGAGGTTAAGCAGGCTTTCCTTACTCTTAAAACTTTCTTACGATACCACCTGGTAATAATGCATCATCTGGTTAATGCATCTCTGGTATTGTGTACAATCTAACTACATAAACGCATTAGGGGCCATCCATGTATTATGTCCACCAATTTGATCGATTTTCAAACCTCCTCCCCTCGGCCCCTCACCCTCCCCAACTTTGGACGTCCACCAAACCCCCCTGCGCTGCCCCATCGTCCACTCAAGTCGCAAAATCAAAATCGTAAACCCCCTTCTCCTAATATCCGATGGACGTAATTCATCGATGGCCCCTTAGTGTCTTGGAAAATCCTTGTGAAGCATAAATGCGAATCTAGAGATAAACTTTGAAGATGCGCGGGACTATTTTGTCAACTCTTTGACCCCATTAATCATAATGACCGATACATAAGCTTGTACGCTATAATTTATAATTAACCTAATGAGAGAACGTATTATCTCAACATTCGTTTTTACTCACTTTCCCACAAAACTTGAGAGAAGGGGCTATAAGTAAGTATCAATATTGCGATGGTATGAATTTTCGTACCAAAACTGAAGCACTGAGTACATGTCTGTTTAAAATTCCAATGCTCTTGTTTTTCATTGCGGCCATAGAATGGAATACCAACTTAGCTACTTTTAATAGAAAAAAATTAAAACTCAAGTCAAATTTTCGAGGTGCCGAAAGTTGTCACAGGGAATTGAGTGTATAAGAATTAGTGGTGCAGTAGGCCGGTGAGTAACTTAAATTCAAATTTGTGTTTACTATGAATTAAAAGAAATTAAACTAATACCCAACTACGCACTTCATTAATATATCGTATCTTCATATTCTAAAATACTGACCTTTAAAGACCGCGTGCCACCTTGAACCTACACTACGCGGCACCAAGGCGGACCACGGACCAACGTTGGGCCACACAAAGGAAGCAATAGGGCCACTGATCTCCTGCTGATCTTTTCCCCAGGTATGAGAAGTGAGAAAACGTTGAGACGTTGTGTGGGATGAGAGAGGGAGTGAGAGAGAGCGAGAGAGAGAGAGCAACGTCGACATACAGAACAGCATAATATACTGGCGGAGATTAAACCTTTCGTCATCAATTATCTGTTTGACTGCCACATTCTTTAGACAGCTGATATAACCATTGATTTGCATCTGATATTGATTTTACTGCCTCTCTTAACACACACTCGGCTCTAATTTGATAACAAAACTCAGAATCGAAACTCAGATGTTACGAGGGGTTGATTGAAGAGCGGGGAAATGGTAGGAAAGGTCTGGAGATATTATCTTGAGGGGTCTGCTTCATCTTTGTCGTTGATTAAGGTTGACTTGAGTAGGATTCTTTCAGAAGATGCCGTTGTTAGAGCCTAAGGTTGAATCTAGTGGATGAGAAGCTTGAGACGTCGAGACGAAGAAATTTCTTCACTAGCTTGAAGGAAGATAGTCGCTGAATCGATATCATTTCACTTTTTCATTTAACTCAAAACCATTTCTCTCAATATCCACTCTACACAACTTTCCCCTTTTTTAAACATTGCCAAAACTGAATTGAGCCGAAACTGCACACAGCTGAATTTGACGATACATCGTCAACTAAGACGTTTCAAACATGACATAAGAAATCTGAATTTATCGAATAATTGAACCTGGTGCATGATCATAAGCTATGTAATTTAGCGCAGCACTTCCTCAAAAGGCATACTGTGAATCATACTGAAAAGCCCGCCCGCAAACACTGACAGACAATTTTTTTGACCGATTTGAGAAATTGAGAAGTTTAGTGTGTGTCTGAGAGTTTCTGAGACATCAAATGTCTGGAATACTCTGGGGGAGAGATAGCGATTAACACATACCTCGGATATTATATCATCACACTTCTACACCATATCATGATCACATTTTTACAGTAATATAATAAATATTACACCACCACATGGAAGAGAAGTAGCATCATCGGGCATGCTAACACGTAATAATTATTCTGTGTACTGGTGATATGATCTGGGTGGTTGGTATGGTGGGATTAATACACACATCATGTACCAGGGTGCATCAAACTGAACCATATTACAATTATAGTAATATGTTAAAAGATGATTGAAAATCAAGATGATATGAGATGTGGTGTGAGGAGCCCACGTGGATATCAAAAGAAGACATTCAAGATAAATATAGATACTCACCGGGGAACAGCTGAACCTTTGCTACACCTACAGATGTTGAGGTTATGATTTGGGTTGTACAACATTAATTAGATTTGGAGATTCATCATAGTTGTAATAATAAATCAGGTAATATTAGTACAATGTTTCAATGGTCTTTTAAAATACAAATATTGGATACATACTTCTGTACCGTCACGTAGAGAAGAATTTTATATTGAAATAATGAGGGCGGATCAGTGAATTATACAATTATATTTTGATACAAAATACAAATATATCTAAAAACTTCAAGTAATAAATTAACAAATTCAAAAATTCCCAATTTGCCACTCAAGGATTTAACATACAAAAGAGGGCACAGTATCATATTATGTAGCAAAAGGAAACTTACGTAAACAATCTGGAATAGCCATCATTATAAGGGTCACATGATCAACTTTGGCACTTATCTCTCTTAAATGAAAACATTTTTAGTAATCAACAATGTTTCATTTCATGAGGATCTTTTTAAGAAATTCACTGTCCGAATCAAGGTTCTCTAAATTCTCTGATATAAGTCCATCAAACTCATCATCTTTAGCAAAATACTTGGATCTTTTCTCAAACTGATAACGTTCGACTTTTCTATCATAAACTATTTTTTCAGCACCCTTACCAAAGAATTCTGAAAGATAACCAAAAGCACAAACATAAGCTGTCCTTAAGAGAAAGAGGCCAGCAAGCTGTTTCGGACACATTTTCAGACTCTGAACTGTAATCTTCTCCCCCAGCATAGCTTTTGTTTTAAGTACATCTAAGGGAGTAGCAACAAGTAAGGCTGATAAAACGATTGCAGGGTTCAATAGAACTGGTTCCATATCTTGTAATGCGTTCTGATCAGGTTTCTGATGGTAATACATTGGCAAAGCGATCGAGCAGTATGTCACAAGGAAGAGGGATGAATATGGGACTATTCCTCTGAGCAGGCCTTTGTAGCCAGCAGTCTGGATAACATTGTGAAAACATTGCTTCATTGGAGTCTGTGAAATCTGAGCATTAATTTTTAACGACTCTAAGATAGATGCAACAGGTATAAGTGATAGTGGAGCTAAACCAATCAGTGCCTTCTTAGTAAAAGAGAATTCATGGCCATACTGTTGGATATATCTGCTAGTAATGTCAAAACCAAGTACTGTTGCTCCCAACATACCAAATCCCAGTCCTTTTGCACTGTAATGTCGTTTGATTCCCAGTGCAGCACCTTTACCAGCCATCAGATGGGTCTTTAAAACATCAATAGGCCAGAAAGGTAAAACCAGAGCAGGAGAAATAGCAACTGAGGCTGCCAAAGGAACCCAAGGAGATCTGATGTTTTCACGATATTCTTTGATGTTTTCAGTTGTTTGTTGTATGCTCCTGGCAAAATCTTGAGCAGAGCCAGCCATATCTCAAATGCTTTGGGATGTAAATTCTGATGAATGATTTAACAATAACAAATCTAGGCAGTATGCAGAGATAAATTGACTCTGAAAAAAATCTTCTACTGTGATTCAGCAGTCAATAAAAAACAAACACACAAAAAAAGTTTTATTTTATAACCACAATCAGTCAATGAAACAAGAAATTTTTTCAATGAAACAAGAAACTTCATTTTTAGCACATTTTACAGAATAAAAAGATGTAAAACAATTCATAAAAATATAATGCCCATTTGATGTATGACTTTTTGTCCTTGACTACTAGTTTTATTTTGAAAGAACAGGTAACTAATGGGGCAAGGAATGCGAGTGCCAGTAAGCTTTAGCACACACCGAAACGCTAGTCAGTTGAGTTTTTAGAGACAAGGCTCATATTAGGACCAGAAAATCAAATCAAATCAAAATATAATGACACAAACATCATCACACATCATCAAAAATATATCTACTAAAGTTTTAAAAATATCTTAAATCTATTGGCCTAAACAACCAAGATAAAATGAATCTAATTTACATACTTTCCACTACTATATAAGTTAATAAAGCGTTTCTTAGCAACATGAGGATGACACACAAGATATTCATTGTGCTTCTCTTTATTAGTAGCATAATTTAATCCCTCAATCTTTCCTAATACTTCGTCCGAAACATACCAAAAATGAATATCATTTACGGATCCGTTTAAAATAGTCTCTTTTTTGAAAGCCTCTAATCTTATTTTAAAACTTAACACAGTCCCACAATTCTTGACATCCGAGGGGAGTTTGTTCCAATATGGTCTCACCCTCTCCGGAAGAAAAGAACTGTGGACTTTCTTCATTTTACTGCTACTTTTACTGCATCTACTGTTTGATACCACATTAAGACCAGATCTGCTCATACTGAACAAACCAGCTCCGTAATTGGCCAAACCACTTATCATTTTAAAAGATTCAATGAGGTCCCCACGTATTCGCCGCTCTGCCAGCGTTGTCAAATTGAGGATTTCCAGTCGACGACTGTATGGAAGAGTACCCACCTCGTCAATCAGACGGGTAAACCGCCTCTGGACGCTCTCCAGCTCCAAGATGATCCCCCAACTTCCATGAGCCGCAACTGGACTCCACAATTGAACACAATACTCTAAATGGGGTCTTATTAAAGCTTTGTAAATGGATATCATCACAGATTTTTCCCTGATAATCAGATTTCTAACAATCCAACATATCATTCTGTTGGCTTTAGATATTGAAGCCTTAATCTGTTCATTCCAAAGCAGAGAGTTATGGGTTATAACTCCCAAGTCTTTTTCCTGTACAGATTCTGCCAATGTAACTCCATTAGAGAATAACTTGATCTTGGGTTATCGTTAACATCTAAATGCATTACTGAACACTTAGTAGGATTAAACTTTAAAAGCCATTTACTCTCCCACATCTCTAGTTCGTTCAGATCATTAGCTATAGTTTCATGCTCGGAGGCATTAGCTATAAGCTTAAGATCATCAGCAAATATTTTAACTTTACTTTTAATGTTATCTGGTAAATCATTAATAAATAACACAAATAGTAATGGTCCAAGGACTGATCCCTGGGGAACTCCTGACCATACAATCTTCCACTCTGAAGTTTCACCTTCTACACACACTCTCATAGTTCTATTTGAGATAAAATCTGTAATTACATCTAAAACTTTACCAGTTATCCCTAGACTCTCTAGCTTGTTAATCAAGCGATAATGGGGAACAGAATCGAAAGCTTTACTAAAATCAAAATAAAATAAGTCCACAGGAGCACCTTCATCTATTAAATTAAGTATAGTGTCGAAAGTCTCCAAAAGATTTGACAAACAAGATTTTCCTTTAACAAACCCATGTTGGTCCTTTGAAATACGGTCTTCTAAAAATTCTAACAAATGGGATCTAACAAACTGTTCATAAACTTTACAAAGAATACAAGTAAGAGAAACTGGTCTATAGTTAAGAGGGTCAGACTTAGAGCCCTTTTTAAAAAGTGCAACTACAGATGCCGACTTCCATACCTCCGGAAGATTTCCAGTATCACTACAGGCACTAAATAATTTAGTAAGAGCTGTTACAAAACTAGCATCTCCAGCTAGGGACTTAAGCAGCTTTGGATGATGCCCATCTGGGCCAGTGCTTTTAAAAATATTAAGCTTTAATAGTTCCTTTTTAACATTATCAAAGGTAATAACAATATCAGATATACTCTTAGTATTCTTACTATAACTTCTAGGTAATGGGCCGAGTGGCTCATTAACAAACACAGAACTAAAGGCACTTGCAAGTACCTCTGCAGACTCCCCTGCACTAGTTGTCCTTGTACCGTCTTCCTTATCTAAACTTGGTACCGAAGCTTTAACCTTTCTCTTATTTCTCAAATAAGAATAAAATGATTTACAATTGATCTTTAAATTAGAATTTATCTTCTTCTCATATCTTATCTTTGCTTTCACTTCCTCATTCTCATAGATAAGCTGTTTACTACTTGCATGACTAAGATTAACACTAGAAGGTTCAATATCAAATGCAGTCCATGCTTTATCTTTGTTCTTTCTCATGCGCTTCAATGAGGATGTGTCCCATGGCAGCTTCACAGGTCTGTTGTTTTTATAGACCAAATTAGTCGGTACTATCCCAGCAACAGTCGTAAGTTTGCCATGTAACTCATCCCACATAAGCTGAACATCATTAGAGCAACTAAAATCCCAGTTAATATTTTCAATACTAAACCAGAAGAAAATTGTTTGCAGACATTAGGGGTTCTGTTTATAGTTGTTACTATGGGTTGCAGTCGTGCTTTGACAAAAAGTCTACACTGTAATATGGGTAAGTTTATAATATTGTGTAGTTAGAGGATATAAAATGCAGCTTCAAGGTGGATATTGGAGAGCTGGCGAAAGATTATGGCTTTTGTATCAATGGTTAAAATATTCAAATATTCGTATTCAATATTGCCATTTCATAGATGTGGTTTTTATAAATAACATTTTCAGATTTCAGTGTAGCTCCAGGAAGCACTAGCGAGCCCACGCGAGATTTTGCTTCAAAATCCTACAAATACTCTAAGACAAAACATTGTCCAGTTACAGAAGCTTAAGTATCATCTTGTCTGTAATGGAGTGAGCTAAGGATTTAATTGCATCATTGCAACATTACACATCTGTGTAGAATCTTGGGATGACCGTGATAGAGGGTTGATTAGATATACACAATGTTAAGAGAAACATGAGTGATGAAACTACATAGAAGTATAATGTGAGTCATAGTACTGAACTGTATGATACTAATTCAAACTAATCTGATAACATCGTGTAGTGTTATTAAGCCTCATGAAAAAGAAAATTATTATTCAAATTTTGCATTTACATGGGTAAAATGAACTTGTCATGTCTAATTTTCAATTAAACTAAGCTCAGTTAATGTGAGCAATTACAGCTGCCCTAATGGAAATTCTTTGCTGGACTGGAGTATGAATAAGGCAGCAGCGATGCTGCAAGGGCGGTCGAACTATTCGATGACCCAGTAGAGGAATCTACGAATCTCTCCAAAGTATCCAAAGTATCCAAAGAAAACTAAATAAAATTTATAA